CCTCTTCCCCTTGCTCACTCAAAGCAAAGAGAATTCATTATCTCATCTTGGCATTGCAGCTTTGTAAGTTCAATGTCAATAGCTAGTTAGGAGAGGGCAAGCAGGTCAGGGATTAGGACTCCAAACTGTCCTTGACGTTTCTCTGTAGGAAGATCTGCTGTTTGCATCAGGCTAATAAAAAAATTCCTTCTCCACTATCTCAGGAATGATCAGGACAAGAAAATGTCAGTTTGGGGGCTGACAGAATTCTGATAAGAATAAGCTGGAAATGAGAGACAGAAAGTAAGAAATACTGTCATTTTATATTTTTAATTTAATTTGAAAAAAATATGTTTACTAGTACGTTTGCTTTTTACACATCATTTTTCAGTCTCTAGGCATTTTTTTTCCCAAGCAATTTTAATGTAAGAAAGTCTGTGTCTATTTTTATTTGATTTGATTTTTACAGTTTTTCCACAAGCTTTTAAAGATTTGGAAGGGTCAGTCTTCCTGGCCTGGAAGCTGTGAACAAATTCACTCCCACAGAATTACTTACAAGCACAGAAATAGTTTCCACTTTCCGTAGTATCTATACATATATCTGGAGTTAAAAAGAATTCTCAGGCTTAATCTAACAAACCCAAGATGGAAACATACCCTTTGGATGGAAATACTTTCAAAGTGTGATGAACTTTCAGAACAAATTTAATACTTATTTTATAAAAGTTTAAAAGTTAATGAGATTTTTTTTCCTTAATTTTATTTATATTGCAACTTTGATAGTAGAGGAAATATATAATGTTTATCGTTCATACAGAATACAGTATGAAGCCATGTAAAATATCCTTCCCACAAAGATGCCCCTCCTGTATAGGTACGAATCTTGTGAATATATTTCATACCTGAAAATATTCCATGAATATTTCTGATCCACATCGGGTGACTTATCCACAAAGGATAGCTTTCCTTTCAAAGATGGAGCAACACTTCTGTTTCAGGATGGAAACACAAAATTAATTGTGGACATAGTCAAGGAGCTCTGAAACACAATCTTTTTGCACAGGTGGGTTACAATCGAAACATTTTTCCAGGATTGCTGCTGAATTTCCGAGCCTGATGAGCATACATTAAGATTCAGATTAAGTACATATAACAATTAAACTCTGAGTCTCCTGTAAAACATGGAATGATTGCTGTGAGGGCAATCTTCACCTGATTGTCCCAAAGTCCTGAATGCAAATGGGGGGAGAGGGAACTCCAAAGAGGATGAAGAAAGGCTTTTCTCAGTAGTGACAGATGGCAGCATGATGGGGTGCGGTCACAGAATACCCGTTGTGGGTACCTCTTGGAGAGCTGACAAGGCCACTGCCATTCGCCTTCCTGCTTTCTGCGGCTTCTCATCGCCTGGTTTGCTGGGCTACTTCTGCTTCCTCCCGCTCCCACTCCCAGTCAAGGTACTAAACTGAGATTAATGCCCCCCCAAGAAGCAGTACAGACACTGAATCTCTTCAGGTCCAAGGAGAACGCAGTTTAGGACCCAGCTTCCTGGGATACCCCTCCCCAAACAGGATCAGAACCCCACATGAATTATTTAGGTAAGTCCCCATAGCAATGAAAGGGGGAATGTACACACTGACGGCCCCAGGTAACCGTTATTTACACTGGGCTTGATAGAAAATAAAAGTGATTTTATGAAATACAAGCAGTAGGATTTAAGTGGTAATAAGTGAGAACAGGCAGAGCAAAGTAGATTACAAACTCAAAATAACGGAAAACGCTTCGCTAATTCTACACTAAAACTTCAGTACAAACTCATTATAAACTCACTCTAAAACTATTTCTTTTCCAGTTAAGCCTTCCAAACCAGGGCTGTTCCTTCCCTGGGGTCTTTGGTTTCTTCCCTCGGGTGTGTCCAGCCAGTGCAAAGACAAAAAGCTCCTAAGTCTCCCATTGTTTTAAAGATTCCCCTTTTCCATGGGAAGCTACCTGACCAGTCCCTACCAGTTGGGTAGGTCACATCACATGACTTTTTAGGACCAACCACTGCTAAGACTTAAAGGACAAAAGAGTTGTTTACAGTTGATCAGACCTTGAGGGAACACCCTTGATGGCTTGCCCCTTTGCATTATTAAAATCCTAAAATATTCCATGCTCCATATATCTAATTTTACACGCAAGAATGATACACCAAAATAAGATATACAGATCCAGCGGATTATGACGAGATAATTTGCTCAAAGCACCTCTGAGTTAGGCTATCTGTGTCCACAAGTCCACTTTCTAAAGCAGGGTGGGGGTCCGTCACAGGCAGAACAAGGAGCAATGGTCTCAAGTTACAGTGGGAGAGGTCTAGGTTGGATATTAGGTAAAACTATTTCCCTAGAAGGGTGGAGAAGGACTGGAATTAGTTACCTAGGGAGGTGGCAGAATCTCCATCCCTAGAGGTTTTTAAGACCCACCTTGACAAATCCCTGGCTGGGATGATTAGTTGGGATTGGTTTTGCTTTGGACAGGGGGCTGGACACGATGACTCCTGAGGTCTTTTCCAACACTAGGATTCTGTGATTCTATGATTCATCCTGCAAAAACTCCTGGTATATCAGCAGTGAGCTCAGTTCATGGCTATCTTCTCTTAATTTCCTTTTTTTCAATTAACAACTTATACATATGAATCAAATATTCTGAAATTGTGGTCTCTGACCCAATGGTGGCCTACAGGGTACTTACAGGTAGTTTGGAGAGTTTGTCACAGGGGTTGTCTTGCCTACTGGTCTGCAGATGCTAAATAGGTATTAAAAGAAGCTCAAAACACATCAAATAGTTCCTAGTATTAATTTTCTATGTAAGCTTTTGCTGTTGCTGCTCCAAGGATGTTGTGGGATCCCAAGTGTAAGGACAAGTGGTTAATATGATTGCAGATGGCACAGGAGGTGGTCCACACTGTGAAAATTGTGAGAATAACTTATCCACAATAGCTCTATGTGGTGCTGGATCCACCATAGTGTACTTTTACCTTTGTGTGTCTCCTGGTTTCCTTTCTGACTCTGCTCTGCATGAAATGTAGGGTTGGGGGAGGGGGGGAGAGGAGGTTCAAATTGCAAACCAGATCTTCCTCCTTCAAGTAGGGTCCCTATGGTTGGTCCACATCAGCCATGTGTGTGTCCCATGCACCTCTGATCAGCTTCTTTTTTTGGTAGCAGTGCCCGTTGACCTCATGCATATGCTCCAGGCATCTACATGCTTTATACCAGTGGTTCTCAATCCAGGGGTACATATACCCTTGGGGGGTACACAGCGATATTCCAGAGAGTACAACCACCCATCTAGATATTTGCCTCATTTTACAACAAGCTACTTAAAAAGCATTGGTGAAGCCAGTGCGAACTACAATTTAACACAGGCAAGGACTTGCTCTATATGCCATACACTGAAATGTAAGCACAATATTTATAGTCCAGATGATTTATTTTATAATTATACAGTAAAAATGAGGAAGTCAGCCATTTTTATTAATATGTGCTGTGATGCTTTTGTATTTTTATATCTGATTTTGTAAGCAAGTAGTTTTGAAATCAGGTGCCTCGTGGGGGTACGCAAGCCAAATCTGACTCCTGAAAGGAGTACAATATTCCGGCAGGGCTGAGTGCCCCTGCTTTATACCAATGACATATCGAGTTGCCTGAGCTAATCACACTCAGCTCCTTCTCAACCAGCTGCCAGCCTGAGATGAAGCATCTAGTGGGCCCACTTCAGTGTCCCTCACCTTAGCCACAAGTTGAGATGCAGTTTCAGTGCAGCTTACCTGATGTAGTTCTTTGATTGTTTACGAAGACTTCTCTTTATTCCTCTCCCCCCCCCCCCCCAGTTTGCTTCAGGGGTCATCATCATCAATTTGGTATGCTGGGATCCTAGGGATTTCAGCACCACTCTGACCCACTGAGAAGCCTGAACTTGCCAGGTATATGTGTTACCTGGGAGACAAACAAACTCCAGAGAAGTGCAAGACCTGCTCAGCTTTTACAAGCAGAGTTTGTGTGAAAACCCCAGGAGATTAAATGTAGCTTCTCATCATGGAGTGCTCCCTCTGACCAGATGTGGATAGAGGCCTGGATACAGGCCCCCTCCCAGGACACCAACTTCCAAGCAAGCACGGTGCCCCCTTGATCTTGGTATCTAGATCTATGCAGGATAAGTTCTAGGAGTTCCTAGGAAGCAGAGTTTTGGATCTCTTCATGCACCGCCTAATTCAAAAAGCCTGAGTCACCATCAAGATAGACCATTTCGGATCTCACATATCCCAAAAAGGTTCCAGGCATCCTTGGTACTGGGAACTTGTAGAAGACTTCAAGCTCCTCAAAGACTCATTGTACTATGTATGCATACCTTGGTACCAAGTTCTCCTGTGGGAAGATGCACATATGTTCATCTCAGCAGATATCCTAAATATGCGCTCTCAAGAAAGTCTATAACATTGTTTGATTTTTTGTTACCACCCCAACACCTAAACTGGTGAACCAGACTGCAGTACTTCTACCTTAGAGGCTAGTATCCTTGGTGTTTGTCCCACTGCTAGATAGCACCAATATGAACCTTTTTAGTACCACCATCAGTTACTCTGGAGTCCCTCCTCATGCAAATGCAGAATCACCTAGTACCACAGGAGTTTAGATTCTCCTAGGACTTGTCAGTGTCTGATGAGGAAGAGACTCCAATATTAATGGGTACTGAATGAGCAAAACATCTCAGACCTTACGGCTGTATCTACATTGGCATGCCTTTCTGGAAAAGGGATGCTAATGAGACACTTCGGAATAGCAAATCCGCGGGCGATTTAAATATCCCCCGCGGCATTTGCATTTACATGGCTGCCACTTTCAAGTAGGAATAAGGGATCCTCCTGAAAAGGGCTTATTTTCCGGAGAATCACGTCTACACTGGCGCTTTTCTCCGGCAAAAACCCCGAGCCGGAAAAAAGCGGCAGCCATGTAAATGTAAATGCAAATGCCGTGGGGGATATTTAAATCCCCCGCGGATTTGCAATTCCGAAGTGTCTCATTAGCATCCCTTTTCCGGAAAGGCATGCCAATGTAGACACAGCATACCTGTCTTTGACACAACAGGGTTCTCTGGTTCCCTTGGCAGCATGTGGCTAATCATCCTTCCCTCCAATGTTTCTGCTTCTCATCTAGACTATGAAGAGGTCTCTTCTTCAGATTGTCTAGGGGTCTCCTCATCTTTCCAGGTAGCTGTACTGCAAAAGAAGCTCCCGGGGCAAGACAGTCTCATGCCCCTGCTCACTAACTGGCACTGGTCATCTACCTACTGGTCATCTACAGTGACCATGTTGGGACCCATGTGGAGGCTACTGCCAGCAATTTGAGACCACTTAGTTATTCCCATGGGGATCATCATCCTGCACCACTTCTCCTTCCTCAGCTGTCCCAACTGCATAAGGACTCATGCTGAGGAGAAGAGTCTAGGGCAGAGAAGGAGATGACACCACAAACTAATGTCTCCTCATCAGCTCCAGCTGAGGCTTTAATGCCTCCTCCTCCCTCTGGTGATGAAAATTTTAAAGAGTTTCTGGATCTGATTAAATGAATCGCTGACTTGATTCATATCCCTCTGGAGGAGGCCAAGAATCATAACATAAACTCTATGATATGCTCCACATAGAATAATAGAATCATAGAATACTAGGACTGGAAGGGACCTCAAGAGGTCATCGAGTCCAGTCCCCTGCCCTCATGGCAGGACCAAATACCGTCTAGACCATCCCTGATAGACATTTATCTGACCTACTCTTAAATATCACCAGAGATGGGGATTCCACAACCTTCCTGGGCAATTTATTCCAGTTTTTGACCACCCTGACAGTTAGGAACTTTTTCCTAATGTGCAACCTAAACCTCCCTTGCTGCAGTTTAAGCCCATTGCTTCTTGTTCTATCCTCAGAGGCCAAGTTTTCTCCCTCCTCCTTATGACACCC